TTAACTCGCTATCGAAGTCACCATGAATAATAATCAACCAAACAAACCTAATAATATAATTAATAAGAAAAATAACAAATCCGCTCCGCCGATTACTATCTCAAAAACAATTATAACAACGAATTCAAAAGCTAACACTTTAGATTCTGGATGGTCAACACAAACAAATAAACGTCAACACTCCAACTCCTCAAACTCACTATCCGAACCCTCATCTCCGAATGTGAACATGGATTTAAATACTAAACAAAAAACACATAAAAAAAAAATCTTTGCTTCACGCAACAGGTTCGAAATACTTGACCAAGAAGATCCATTTGACCAGCCCACTATTGAAAATACTTCTACAAACTCTCAGCAAAATGATGCTGAAAACGATATAATGGAAAATGTAAACACACCAATTAAACCCCCTCCACCTATATTTGTTAAAGGTGTCGAAGATTTTCCCGCACTATGTACTGCCTTAATAGAGCTTATAGGTGTTGACAATTTTATATGTAAATCTTCATCAAATTCTCTGAAAATTCAAACTACGGACCCTAATGCCTACAGAGTATTAGTACATTACCTAAAAGCTGAAAAAGCTGAGTATCATACATACCAGCTTAAAGAAGAGAAACCACTTCGGATAGTTATACGTAATCTCCACCCATCCACGCCTCTAAGTTTAATAAAAGAAGAGTTGGAAGTTCGTCTCTACGAGGTAAGGCAAGTTACCAATGTACTACATAAAGTCAATAAAAATCCCCTCCCCTTATTTTTCGTTGATCTTGAACCAACACCGAAATCCAATGAAATTTTTAAAATGTCTTCACTACTTCATTGTAAAATAAAAATCGAAGAGCCGTACAAACCGAAGACAATCAGCCAATGCTTTAATTGTCAACAATATGGACACACCAGAACCTACTGCGGCTATCAACCCCGATGCGTTCGCTGCGGAGCAGATCATCAGTCAACTGCTTGCCCGAACCCACGCGATGCTCCTCCGAAATGCGCTCACTGTTCTCAAAACCACCCAGCCAACTACAAGGGCTGCACAATTTATAAAGAACTCCAACGTCGTAAGAAATCCAGCACACCAAGTAATCGATTACCAAATAATTTTAATACCCAAACCACTAATGTACAAAGTAGCCATCCACCTGTTCGCACTTTCCCAAATCACCCCTCTCCTCAAACGCAAACTTACGCTCAGGCCACGTCCAATACACCAGCTTTCGTTGCTCCTCCTCCTTCTACCGATACTCAGCCGCCTGATTTAAGCAAATTATTAACTAATTTTTTAGACGAATTCAAAAATGTTATAAATCCACTAATTTCTCTTTTAACTAAAGTAATATCCAAGCTCCTCGACAAATAATGACTAATAATAACTACAATAAATCTGTCACCGACGATTCGCTCTTAATACTACAATTTAACGCCAATGGACTAAAAAACCATGCCCTTGACCTCGAAACCGTATTAAACCACAAACGCATTGATGTTGCCCTCATTTCTGAAACCCACTTCACTAAATTCTCCCATATACATATACCCGGTTATACTCTAATTAAATCAAATCACCCCGACAATACCGCGCATGGAGGTGCTGCTATTTATATTAAATCTAATATTGAATTCTATCCCCTACCTAGGTTTTCTCAATCCTTTCTCCAATCTTGTGCTATTAACCTAAAGTTAAACAATACTTCACTCACCATTGCTGCTGTTTATTTACCCCCAAAACATAACATAAAAAACTCTCAATTCGCCGACTACTTCAACTCATTTAATAATAACTTTATCATAGGTGGCGATTTTAACGCCAAACATCAGTCATGGGGATGCCGCGTGAATAACCCCCGAGGAGTTACCTTATATAACTATATAAACACTAAGAGATTTAAAGTTCTAGCTCCACCTGATCCAACCTATTGGCCCTCTTCGGCCCGTAAAAATCCTGATATTCTTGATATCTTTGTCTCCAATTTACCGAACACCTTGTTCCACTCTACTAAAAACTTACCCGATTTAAATTCTGACCATTCATCAATACTCCTAACGCTCAATACTTCCCCTTCTGTCAAAGAATCCAACAAATTATTTAACAAATTCACAGATCATGTTAAATTTCATGAACTAGTTAACACAAAAATTAAGCTAAACACAAAATTAAAATCACCCAATGACATAGACCAAGCGGTCCTCAATCTTACCAACATAATACAAACTGCAGCATGGTCGGCTACAAATACAATGCCAGCACCTCCTTCTGCAAGCTCACTTCCTGAATACATACGCAACAAAATTGTTGAAAAAAGAAGAGCAAGAGCTCTATACCAGCGCACGCGTTTACCTTCCCATAAACTTAATTACAACCAACTAGCTAACTCACTAAAAAAACTGCTCATTGAATTTAAGTCAAACATATGGCAAAATCACTTAATGAAACTCACTCCCACAGACGGTAGCCTATGGAGAGAAACAAAACAAATACTTCGCTATAAATCTCCAAATCTCCCTATTAAAAAATCAGATGGTAGCTTAGCTACTTCGGATATCGAAAAAGCTGAACTTTTTAAGGATCATCTTGCTAATACCTTTCAACCACACGCCGATATCATAGACGTTGAAAACATGAATCAAGTCGAAACGTTCTTAAATACCCCCCTCCCGGTTTCTCTCCATGTCAAGTCATTTACACCTAATGATGTAAAATATGCTATACAAAAATATGCTCTAAAAAAATCACCAGGCTATGATTGCATTACTGCGGTAGTAGCCAGATCCCTGCCAGCTAGAGCCATAGTTCACATCACTCATATATTTAATGCTTCACTCAGACTTTCCTATGTTCCCCTACTATGGAAATTCGCAACTATAATCTTATTTCTAAAACCAAACAAACCACCTGAACTACCATCATCACACCGTCCAATCAGCCTTCTCCCTTTTTTCGCCAAAATACTGGAACGGTTAATTCTGAAACGAATTCTCCCGATAATTACTGAAAAAAATATTCTTCCAAACACCCAATTTGGGTTTCGCGCTTCTCACTCAACTATTCATCAAGCACACAGAGTCGTAGACTCTATTTCGTTTTCCCTGGAAAAAAAACTGTTCTGCAATTGCGTGTTTTTAGACATCTCACAAGCATTCGACCGCGTATGGCATGATGGGCTTTTGTATAAACTTAAGAAATTCATGCCTCCCACCTACTACTTACTTATTAAATCCTATCTATCAGATCGTCATTTTCAAATACGCTACGGTTCTGCGTTATCTGATGTAGCAGTTATCAATGCTGGTGTTCCCCAAGGGGGCATTTTGTCTCCTATTCTGTACAATATCTTCGCTTCTGATCAACCAACTACCCCCAATACATCCGTAGCTGACTACGCTGACGATAAAGCAATAATATCTATTAACAATGATCCATTCATAGCGTCATATAATCTCCAAACTCACCTTAACCACATGGAAAAATGGTTTACTAACTGGCGATTCAAAGTAAACCAAAGCAAATCTGTACATACTACCTTCACCCTCAAACATGCTTCCTGTCCTACAGTTTTTCTATACGGTATTCCTATCCCTTACTCTCCAAAAATCAAATATCTCGGGCTCACTCTCGACCAAAGGTTAACCTGGGCTCATCACATCAAAATCAAAAGATTAGCACTGAATCATCGTCTCCGTATCCTCAAACCCTTAATAAGCAATAACTCTACCGCCATTAAAAACAAAATTCTGATTTACAAAACACTTCTCAAACCCATTTGGACATACGGACTCCAACTTTGGGGAAACGCTAAAAAGTCTAACATACTGAAAATTCAAACATTTCAAAATATCGCTCTCCGAAAAATAATGAATGCACCACCCTACGTGTCTAATCACACCCTTCATACTGACACCAAACTCAAAACAATTAACGACGAAGCCAAAATATATTATAAAAGATTCTATTCCAAACTAATTAGCCACCCTAACGAACTCATAAAAAACTTATCTACTCCTTCCATACCTGGTAATCCCCCTAGACGCCTGAAGCGTAAGTGGTGTCGCGATCTCTTAAGATAAGCAAAAAAAATAAAAAAAAAATCCATAGAAAGTGCCATCGATGGATGGCTTCTTTCATCAAATTTCCATGTCATTCTTTGTAACTTTCATCATATATGCTTATTGTGTCTAGTCGATACAGATTGTGTATTACGTTTAAAAATAAAAAAAAAAAAAAAAAAAAAAAATAAAGAATATAAAGAATAATAGTTTAATAGTTCAAAAAATGTTATCCTTAAAGAAATATTTAAAAAAGTTAATAATTAATAAAACACCGTCATAAGGTAAGTGGTAATCAAATTTTTATAATATATAATACTAATAATTCGTTAATACAAAACTATTTGATTAAAATATCCATCAAATTATTTTAAAACTTTCAATATTGTTAATACTTTTTGAGCTTATATATTTTTTATTTTTAATACCCGCAATAAAAATAAATGTTTTGGTACTTATTGATAAATTGACAATTATATTTTATTTGTATGAGGAAAGTTAGCTTAGGTGGATTTTACTTAATTTAACAGACATAAAAATATACTCTGTACCAAATAAGAGAGCACCGCGTTGGGGCATCCAAATGCATCGAGGAGTGAAGTCCGGACCCCCTGGCTGGGTCTATTCATTCTGTCATTGGTCGCCCTTAGTCGGCCATATTCACTGCCAACACTGCCCTGCCGCTGCTGCCACACGCTGTGGTAACGCGCCCAATCATGTGGGAGTTTCGACCAGTTTTCATGCGCCGCCCTCTTATTTGGTACAGAGTATAGTAAGTATAATTTTCAGTGTTCCAGAAAATACATAAATAATCAATCGTAGAGGATTTCACAATCCACATATTATGTAAAAAATTCAAAAAATTTAAAATATTATTATATAGTATTATTTGTAATTGAACAAATTAAAAGTATTTTTTTTAAATCAAATAAGTAATGGTGAATGAAAACTCAACACGGTTCTGCTGTTATAATACATTTTGGAGGTTGTTGTGTCCATCCTTTCATATTTTCTTCATTGACAATTTTTTCTGCATTCATCTAAAAAAATTATATTCATGTATTTATTTAATAACTATTATATTTAATTTAATAATATATCAATAAAAAAAACATACACAATAAAATGCAATCAGTAATCATAAATAGTTATAAATAACTCAATATACAGCGTGATTCTTTTATCAAACAACACTCATTATTTCAAAAAGTGTAAATTTTTTTGAAAATATTTTTTTACATAGTTTCAAGTCGCTTATAAAACAACGTTTTTATTAAAAAATTATATTTTTAAATATTTTTTATCTTTATAATTTTTTAAGTTTTTTACTTTTTTGAATAACAACATAGGGTTTTAATTTTATATTCCAAAGCAGAATATTTTCCCCATATTTTCTTAGTATTTTGATACATGAAAATCGAATTTGGGTTGAGTAGTTTATGAGTTATAAGTATTTAAAGTTTAGACGAGCGGAGTGGAGTGGTTCGGGGTTACCCCGCGAAATGTTTGTCCACTTCACCGCTCGTCTAAACTTTAATTACTTATAACTCATAAACTACTCGCCCAGTCGCCCCAAATTCAATTTTCATGTATCAAAATACTAAGAAAAATATTCTACTTTAGAATATAAAATTAAAACACTATGTTGTCATTCAAAAAAGTAAAAAACTTAAAAAATTATAAGGATAAAAAATAATTAAATAAATAATTTTTTAATAAAAACGTTGTTTTATAAGCAACTTGAAACTATGTAAAAAAATATCTTCAAAAAAATTTACACTTTTTGAAATAATGAGTGTTGTTTGATAAAAGAATCACCCAGTATACATATAAATACAATTTAATACATATAAGTATTTAGTTTATGATTTTATCATAGAACACTCAATATTCTTTAACCTAACCAGTTAAAGCAATTTTTGGATTAGATTAGGACTTTAAGAGTGATATTGAGTGTAATATGTTCTGCTAAAGGCCTATAAATTAATAACCTTGTAAATTATTTAATTGTATACATACTAACTAGTAATAACATTGTTTTGTATGAATTATCATTTATTAAATTACAATTTCTATTTCAATTGTACACTAATTATTTTTTATAATTTTTAATCGCATACAGTTATTGTTAAATGTAAACATCTCTAATAGTGAGAAATTGATTAGATGTCGTGAATTAATTAACAAAATCCAGATTTATCTAAAATAAGCTGGATTTTTCCATCATATATAGATTTTGTCTTAATGTGCATAATATTATTATAACTTAAAATATGTTATCAACAAGCTCAAACTTTGAAATTTTTTTTGCTTTATGATCGTATTAAGTTAATCGTAATAAGTTTAAAAATAATTTGTTTAAAAGTCTATGAAAATCAGTCGTGGTTCATAAGGTAAATTATAGGTAAGGGATTTAGAAATAATTTTACCTATTTGAGCCACAACATAAATATTAGGTACCTACTAACATTTATTTATAATCTAGTAATAATGTTGAATTATTTATAAACAAATAACACTCACTTCTTGCATTATGTTGTTATGATAGTTTATTTCAAACTGATATTTAGGCGTAGTGATACCAAAAAAATTAGCCAAAGATTCACCAAGATAATCAACTGTATTCAATGCGCCATAACCAATTGCTGCTGATTGTTTAAACAACCATGACGGCCAATTATTAGTCTATGGATTCAAATAACAAAATCATACATAAATACGATATCAATCCCGGTAAAACTATAATACTAACAGATTCAATTGAATTAGTTTTTGATTCTCCTCTCAGTAAATCCGTTTCATCAGTTCCTGCCGTTTCTACACATCCATCACTAAAATAAGTCTTACACGGTTCAATTTGTATATTGATGCCTTCCATGTCGCAAAATGGTTTCTCCTGAAATCAGAAAACCACAAAACTACTATGTAATTAAAAAATTAATGAAAAATAAAACCTTTAACAATATTGGTTTTGATGACATGGTTCAAGTGGTAGGTAACAAAAGTGTTTGAGTGTTTGACAAGCACTGATATGAATATTATACTTCTTTGAACTGACCTTGTAAAGTCGAGAAATCAATATTATTTGCTTATATTATTCAAAACATTAATAAGACAGTATAGTTTTTGAAAAAAATGATTATATATGCCTAGGTAGTAATTACTACTACTTCTACAGTAAATGTTTTCAAAAATGTCACGCAATCATAAAAAGAACACTACAAAAACATTAGAATGAACAAGTGATTAACGATGAGTATCGATTACCATTAAGCACAGAATAACAATAATAATAATATTAAAATCTGTGCGACTGTGCATTAAGCATTAACAGAAGCATTAATTAATTATTAAGATATAATAATATAATAATAATTAATAGTTTAAAATTATTAATTATAGTTCGGGGCGTTCGGGCATCGGGTCATTTAACCAAACGAAATCAAATAACTGAAGTTATTGTCGTGTTATCACTTATCAGTTGATTACTGAATCACAGAATAAATATTTATTCTGTGACCGAAGTTTCACTGTGAAGAAATCAGTCATCACTCATCACTCATCAGTGAAACTTTATCTATAAATTCTAATCCACATTATATTTATTATTTATATTTTATACAATAATACAGTAAAGGTGTAAATTTAAATTTATGACTTATGTACATACTATATACATTTATTATTTTGTTCTATGATCAATAAAGTTATAATACATTTATTACAATTATAAGAAAGCATAATATACCTATAAACTGTACTACTACTATTTGTTTTTTTTTTCATAGTTTAGTTATTATAATTTGTATCATATATTAAAATATATACTGTCTTGTATAGAAGTCCGAGGATAGCATATACATTATGTATAATATCGTGCATAATATATTATATATTATCAATGACCGAAAAAGTTACAGGCACAGTATAAGCCCGGCAACAAGCACTGCCACACAGATTAAACATAAACATAAATGAAACATCAGCTGTAATAGGTATCTGTGATATATTCTATAGTTCTATACATTGACAAACCAATGTCTAAACGTGTACCCCAAAAATATTGATGACCATTTCTCAAGCCAGTTTGTTTGTCATCAAACAGTTTCAAATACGACAAATACACTTCTACGGTTACGGTAGGTGTGGTGTGCCTATGTCATGCTAAGTTTTTATAAAACTTGACATAATTAATATTATTATCATTAAATATTATGTATTTATTTACTTCAGGGTAATACATACAATGTCGTGGAACCAATTACAGGCAGTAGCCAATAGGTAACATATTATTATGTGCAGAGAAAGAGTATTATAATACCTATGATAGGTACCTGTAATTTGCATTTACTTGAAAAAATAATAAAAATATTTTAGAGGAATCAATCAGTTCTTTAGATGGAGTCAGCAGAGTGGCGTGAAACCGTTTTTGTGATTGGTAAAAGAACAAATGCTGGAACATTTGACAATGGGAATTGCAAAGTGTTTGATAAAAATGGATATCACTGGATTGTTGATCAACAGTTTTACAAAAAATTAGAACTACCCGAAGATCCATGTAAATGGAATCAGGTTGGTATAATAAAATAAATAAACTCTTTCAAAAAATATATGGTATATATTTAGAGAATTATAATATTAATATTAAACTGACAACAAAAATATAATTATCTACAATAGGTATAATACAAGTTAGTTTTCAGTATAATAAATGTTATTATTATTTTCATAATATACTGTAATAGTCTAACAAATACAATGTTCATACAGTATCACAGAACCATAGTATTAAACTGATAGGTAGGTAAATAGTTTCAATTAATAGTTTATAAAAGGCAATTTTAACTTTGGTTTAATAAGTGAACTACTTTTTAGACAATTATTTATTTATAACTAAAAGAATAAATTATGACATTAACAATCCAGTTAGTTGGTTTCAACATTGTCCATATTTTGATGTACTTACACGGTATAATATATAGGCGTATAAACTATAAATAGATGGACTCCGCTCAGAAAGAGATCTCATATAGCCATTGGCATTGGATAATCGTTTTATAATGTCTGGGGCATACTTTATATAGTAAAAGAGTTTTAGGTATTTACAGAAATAAAATATTATGTTGATGTTATTTTTTATTTAGACGCATGTATGTACTTGGATGAAATGGGCTAAAATTGAATACAACTTACCTAATTTAAATATTACTGAATCAACAATAAATGGGAAACAGTTAACTTCTGACAATTTTTGTTGGAATATTACTGGTTTAGAAGATAAGTCTACAAAAGATGATTTTTGGACACATGTTTGTCTACTCAAAACTATGCACAAAGTATACATTAAACAAAATGATGAAGGATGTATCAATATACGTACACTTCTGAACTATAAAAATAAAATGTATTCAAACTCGGATTTTAATCATGATGTGGAAATTTGGCAATTTTTACTAAATTTATTAACCGATAGTGAATATCAAAATGTGATTGAATGGACTGATAATGAAGGAACATTCAAAATTATAAAACCAAGTACTGTTAGTATCATGTGGGGTTTGGTTAAAAATAACTGGAGGATGGATTATAATAAAATGGCTTCAGCATTAAGATACCATTATGGAAAAGGTATTATAGAACGAGCTAAAGGAAAACATGTTTATAAGTTTGCTGGTGATATAAAAACTTTGATTGGTCATAGTCCTATGGATATAAAGAGTATGTTTCAACAAGCATCTAATTAATTTTTCTAGTATTTGTGTTATTATGTAAACTATATGTAAAATAATCAGTTTTAATAAAATAATTATGCTGTACACTTGTATATGATCTAGAACTGTAATATTTGGTACATATTTATAATTTAAAAAAGTGTTGTGAGCGAAGAAACCATTCAAACTTCAATTACTGACTTGTAATACCTAGCTTTATATACTAAATTTGATATATTAAATATTTATTATTTTGTGTAAGTTTAATTAATTATATGAATAAACTGAACTTTTATGGATTAATTTATAGTACAAGTCCTTCTTACATAATGTTATACCATAGTTGATGTAATGTAGGGCACAGGGGAGGGGCAACCAAGTGTATTTTTAAATACATTTTTACCCCAATTAAAATTTTTTCAAACTTTAATATAATATTTGTTGGCTATGGTGAGGACCACAGATGGAGAAAATTTACCCCCTTCCATCACTTAGTTACTGCTTTGAAAATCACCTGTCAGTTTTTGAGTGGTTTACAAACGCATTACTTAATAGATGTAACTGTATGATACAATAAAATTGTAATAATATGTTATATACCATCGGCTGCATAGCAACAACTTACAACACTTGTGTGGGATCCTAGTTGAGCTTCCCATGTATAACAAACTATCAGCCTCCCCCCACCACCTAATAGACCAATAGACGAGCATAAAAAGAAATAGAAAATAATATAGGAACATGATTGTTAAATGTATATGTATTTTTTTATATTACTTGGTATGGAGGTGATGGTAGTGGTAATAAGAGGTCTGCATTTATTATTATTACCTATAAATTACAATAATTTAATTGTATGCTCAGTTTTCAAAATACATTAATTATAAGTACATTATGTATGAAAAAAAAAAGAGAGAGGAACCAGCAGTCAAGTGCATTCTAATAAGCAAAACAATTTAACTTAAAAAATATAGTGTAGTGAAAAAAAAAACTGCAGTCTATATTAAAGAACAAACAAAAGTATTAAATAATTACAAACAAGAACATCAATAAATTATGATCAATGTAGGTACAGTTGAACGATGAAGGCAAAAATATAGAATGGGTGTCGTTCTGCTGTTCTTATTGTAAATACAACATATTTAATTTAATATTTTAAATAACAACATAGAATTTTATTATAAGATATTTTTACTTTTTTAAAAATGTCAAATTAAATTAACACTTTTTACTTTTCAAACATTAACTAATAGGTATCAAACGAAACTTTAAAGTCTTTAATTAACTGTTAGCCGTAGGGATGCCAGATTTCAAAATAAAAAATACGGCACAATACTGTAAACAATTAAATTATGGTTGGGGGGGGGGGGGTATTGAAACGTTGGCCTTTGGGTACCTACCATCCCAGTATGTTGGAGCCTGATAAGTACTGTCCTAAAACGTGATGACAGACACAAAAATATAAACAAAAACATACATCATTGTAAAACCAATACATTCATCGCTCCGCTCAGAATCTAAAATTGGAAACTGAAAATGTCTGTTAACAGTTCAAAGTTCAAACCAAATCCAAATATTTTGAAAATTTTATCGTGTACAGAAAATGCTTATATAAAACCAGTGAAAATTTCTAGTATCTGCGGTCATTTGTTTTAGAGTTAACCAAAAACCTAATCAGCTAAAAATTGTTTTTCGTATGCGGAATGTAAGTACCGTATAAAATGGGGTGACTCCGGACAAATTAGAACGTAAATTTATGAAAAAATATACCATGTTCTTTTTGTATGTTGAAATCATTTAGCAGAAGAATAATCATTAGTCATTAAATAGTTCACACTTTTTTTAAAAGATGAATTTGGTCCGGAGTGACCCGAAAAATGGGGCGACTTCAGACACCTATTTGATTTCATTCAAATTAAAATAAACTTCAGACAATAAATATTATATTTTTTTAAAAATTTAACGAATTAAACAAAAAAATATATAGCTTCATTGTAAATACAACATATTATTTAATTTAATATTTTAAATAACTTAACATAGAATTATTATTTTTACTTTTATAAAAATGTCAAATAAAATTAAAATCCTTTTACTTTTCAAACATAAACTAATAGGTATCAAACGAAACTTTAAAGTCTTTAATTAACTGTTAGGTACCTATATTGAAAAGTAAATTGTAAATTTATTTTATTCCTAGAAGTATGATCTGGGGCCTGGGCATCGTAATTTTCGTGTCCTAGGTCACCCCACTTTTTTAATTTATTCATCAATGTAACACTACAATGGGAGAATAAAAAAATAACAACTAGTACACACTTAAATTATTACGGACAAGTTGGTAAGTCGATTTCCAAAAACAAAAATCAAATATTATTATTATTACTATTATGCTCACTATTAAACTATTAAAGATATATAGTCACGACAAATTTGCTGTATATCTTTAATCGTGGTTGTGCAATTTTATTGTGCTACAGTTGTTCAGTCAAAATCCAAAAATATATCATCTTGATTCTTGAACTTACCTCCATAATAAGGTGTGGTATGATAATATTACCTATCTTATATTGGTATCACTAAATATTATTCTCTATGGAGGATATAATACATATAAATTATAATGTTCAAAATGTGTTTTCAAATGTCAAGACAAAAATATTTTAAACCACTGATTGACTGATAACATAATTATTAAAGGGCCTGCAGGCTGCAAGTGACCTGTTATTTTGCTCAAAAACATGCCTTACAGGAAAAACTCTCATGCCTCGTAGAGTGATCTGATTTCGATTTTTTTTTTTTAAAAGAAACGCTTTTTACAGGGCTCACTGAACCTGGATTTTCAAGATTCTATTTCTAAACCATATAATACGACTTTGAATATGACCAATTTTCACATGATTTTATTATGTTTATTTAAGCAACGAAATGAAGTTCAATGCGCCCTGTAGAAAATTCTCCTCTTTCTAACGAAAATAAAATTAATCAAATCAGACCAATCTACCATGCGTGAGAGTTTTTTCTGTAAAGCGTGTTTTGAGCAAAAGATCATGCACTTTATTTTTGGTCGGCGATGCCGTTGAAATGTGCGCTCACGCGCAGTGCGTGCGTAGATAGCACGGTACTCGCATACAATCCAACTCACATTAATCATCATTGACGACTAACGACTAACACAAATGCAATGGGCGGTGGCAACGAAACTGCATGTTTCCCAAATATTGCCCCTTATTAAAGACACACGAGAAGGCCCCTTAAAGCATTTTTTAACAAAATAAACTTTATAAAACTTATCAGGCTATAACATACTGGGATGGTAGGTACCCAATGGCCAACGTTTCAATCCCCCCCAACCATAATTTAATTATTTATAGTTTTGTCCCGTATTTTTTACTTTGAAATCTGGCATCCCTAACTCAGAATCTAAAATAGATTAACTTTTTTTAAACCGAGTTAAGTTAATATTTTTTCTCTATGAACTTTTAACTTATCGAGTTAAATTTATAATTTGTTAACTGCTAACTTTTAACTAATCGATCTTGTGTCCTCTTAACTTAATTTAACTTGAGTTAATTATTTTCATTAACTTGCCCACCTTTGTCTATGGTATTAAAACAAAAATTGACCTATAATGGGTACCTATAATAAATTCTAAATTAATCATATCACAATATCCATTATATGTACCTACTTATAACGCGTTATACATCAACAACAAACCGTGATACTATCATAGATATATTGTAGTATAGTAGTATACTTTAAAAGTTTCCAGTTACCACGAATAATATTATACAGTCATAACAAAATAACTAAAATAGTTATTCTAGGTTTTTAATATGTGATTTCGTCCAAATTTGAACCTAAAATGACTATAAAAATAAACTATGCTTGTGTATTTTTTAGATTTTTTGGTAACAGAATTAACTACTTACATGGAATCTTGTTTTAAATTTTCAATCCTTAGATATAAAAGTTGAACATTTTATAAATTTTTAACAACAAAATAATTATTCAATTTTAAATTTGATAAATTTTGTCAAAATTCGATCTTTAAATGCTTATAAAAAAAATTGGGCCTATGTATTTTTAATATTTTTCAACTCCTATTGTAACAATATATCAGGAGCCTTGTATTAAATGTTTACACTTTTTGGCCCAACATATAAAACTTTATTGATATTCATAGAAAAAAAAAAGAAAAATTTAAAACTGACAATGCCCGTAAACCGCTTAAAAAAGGGGTTAAAATATTTTGAACATTTTATCAAGTATAAGAATTGATAATATAAACATTGAGTGAACCTTTCATGTATCTACAGTTATTTGTTTTTGAAGTACAACAAAATAAGAAAATCATTACATGAGAAAACGAGTGAATAACAAATTTTGTAAAAATATGAATTTAAAATGCTCATAATAATTTAATTTGACTTTTTTATTGATATTTTTTTTCGATAAAGGTAGATATTCTTATAAGGAATATTGTATTATACATTTTAAAACCTTAGATCAGAGATTCCCATTCAGGGTGCCTCGAAATTTTTTTAGGGTGCCGCGAAATTATTTCAAATATTATTTTAGAAAAAACAATTTCATTAAAAATAAATACAATGTAATAATTTGTTTATAAAATGTAATATGTATATAGTATGCACCTACACCTTACTACTTTTGATTATACTTATGCACTAATAAATAGAACCGAAGTACTCTATAGTATAGACCAGGGGTCTCAAACTACGGCCCGCGGGCCGGATACGGCCCTCGAACAAGTTTTAACCGGCCCGTGGCCCGCATAGGACGCATAGGTAAATATAGATAAAAAAATTATTTAAAAAATGTATTTATATTATATTATATTTATACCTATTTATTTTTATTTAAGTATATTGTAAAGTAAACAATATTCTATACAAAAATATAAAGTAAACATATTATTTATATAGGTACCTATATTATCATAAAGTTAAAAATTATATGTGTTAATAAACTTTTGGCCCGCTAAGAGCATTTGATTTTTTTGTGGCCCT